CAGTGGAGATGTTTAATATTTTGGAGATGAACATTCATGGCTCTAAATGTTAAGCCACTTGAATGAATAATCAAATTTACTGTTTATTAATAAAAATAAATCAGTTTTTTGTTAATGAAATTTGAAAACCTTAAAATGTTTGTTTCTGACTGATCTTCAAATAGCAAAATAAGCAATAAAAACAGCTGAACCTAATTTTTAATACTTAATTTTTTCCTTTTTTTTTTTGGCTGAAGTCATGCCTGGCTTTACCAGCACATGTGCCAAGGCTCAACCCAGAGTGACACATGAATGAGTAATTTGAGTTCCCGAATAGAAAACTCGAGTCAGAAGCTTTGAGGGAAAAAAAATCTAACAGTAGTGATACCATACAGTGGTTAGCTGTGCACCTAAAGACTAAATGTTTTAGGATAGTTATTTAGTCATTATACTCCTTGGTGCACTCCACAGCAGGGAAATAAATTATGTTGGATTTAAAGTGTATTTATAATAAAAGATGGGTGTGCCCATCATTCTCTATTTCAAATCCTGGCATGGGTGACTGTCCAAATTCATCACCTATTGCTGTTGTAAAAACCAGTATTGCGGTCGTAACACATCTGAAATGTAGAAGGGAAACAAGTGATCCGAAGAATTCTCAGTAATGGTCACTGAAAAGCACTTGCTAGGCCTAACACTGGACTGGCTCCCAAATCCCTTACCGTTAACTGCTCCTACCACCGTCCTCCCTTTCCACGCGGGAAATTTAACCAGCCAACAGAAACAACATGGAGGCAACAAAAACATGACCTAACAGTTAGTAGACACGCTATTAAAACTTCAAATTGGAAAAAAAAAAAAAAGTTTCTCGAATTGTTGATTCTGGAATTTTTCTCTGTAGAAGTCTTCAGTTGAGGGGACTTTCATATAGATTTGGGTTTTCAGCCATCCTTCCCTCACCCTTGTGGACCCCACATGGTGCATTAGAGAAGGCCAGAGGCAGGGGACGCGGTGAGTTCGTGTTGCTTTGGATCCGTACGGTGCAGCCTTCCCTCTGCCTCGGCAGAAGCGTGCCTCTCAGGTGTGCGTCAGCTACTCACGCCCATCATGTCCTCCCCCAGAAGTGTTTCTAGCCTTATGATGGGATTCACCTCCCTCCACCGCAAGGTCATGGCTTTACAAATTATGAGTGACTCGTAAACCAGCTTGTAGGAACAGGAAAAGCACTTGTAGTAGTATTTAAACATGCACACATAGAACCGTCAGCAATGTGAGGCTAGAATGATGTTTACAAGGGAGAGCTGGAGCTTCTTTGTACCTGACCTGGTATCCTTGGGACCTAGAAAGTACCCGCTTCACCTGTTTCTCAAAAATAAGTGTGGGATGTAGTATTGGAAAAGTGATCCTCTTGATTTTTTTTTCCTACATCATTAGCCATCTCTGCCCTCCTGGACATAGATTTAGCCATATGAAGGGGCTCCATTTAAAAGGGATATTACTTTTTTAAACTCCCCCCTCCAAAATAGAGGAGTATCTGCTAATGATAAAAATAACACCTGGAGAGATTATCTTCAACTTCCTTAGTGTTTAACTGCACGAGACAGAGCACTGTCCTAGGTACTAACTACTTAGAGTATGTGATGACTGTTAGGAGACATGATTTCTCAAAAATAAGTGTGGGATGTAGGAAAGGAGAATGACGAAATATTTCAAAGCTCTGTCCTGCATGATAATCTATGAATGGAATAAGGTCCTCAGTGCCGTAACAAGGTCAGGCTTAGTTTTAAGGAGCAGGGCAGAGAAACTTCTGTCCTGCCTTCCTTGCCAACCGACTGCTTCTCTGCGCTCGACTGGGCTAAGGATGTTGGTAACTTCGAAAGAAATGCCTTCCTGTGTGCAGCCAGGTTATACTACACAGTGCGACCTAGTCAGGGCTCTCATCTCTGCTGCAGTGTAGAGAGATGTGGCACAGTCTGTGATCTGTACGAGTGCAGCTTTCCCTCTGCCTCAGGAGAGTAAGCACTAAGTTTTATGATCCTGTGGTCACAGCTGAGGGCATTATTCACGTCTCCCCCCTTCTCTGCTGCTCGCAGTGCCTACCAAAGTGATAAATTTGTTTAGATGGGCGGTAACTTAATGGGTGAAACGTTTCTCACCTACCTCCCACTCTCTACCCCCACACAAGCACGCTCCTATCGAATTCTAGGTGTGAACACCTAGATATTTCACTCTGACTCAACTTTCCATTCTCAGATGTGATAAGATTGACACAAATGAAATATACTTGATAATATCCAACTATATGTACTAGGCATATATAAAATGTTTAATAAGTAGAACCAGGAGATAAAGCCAAACTAACAAAATATGTTTTTCTCTCACCAAAGAAATACAGTTGGATCCCCTTGACGAATGGCTAACTTACTGAGCATTTACTACATCCCTGGCACTGCTTTCATTGCATCCATTAGCCCATGTTAATATTCTCAGCAGTTCATACTTTTTAAGCATTGCGAGATTAAGTAACTTGCCCGAAGTTGCACCCAGCAAAATGCAGAAGCATGTCTTGAATACAAGTAGTCTGACTCCTAAATCTGATGACCAACCTCCCGGCCACACTGATTCACTGAGAAAGTGAATCCAGAGTTCCCCTGGAGTATTTACATTAAGATATATGGTTTACCTAAAACATACCAGCCTTTATTGGAGCATAAGTGCTGTTTAAAGCAACCTATGCCTGTGGAAACCAGGGCTATAATTTCAGGATTTTCTCTCTACCTAATGAAGGGCATTTTCTTTGCAAGAGAATTAAGCACAAAATTGGGCAAGGATTGAAACGCTTTCTGAAACCAGGATTACACCCACTTTGGCAAGCTGTGTCAAGCACCCAGGGCAGAAGGAAAGAAAAGCAGGCTGGAGTGAATGGTTGGTTACACATTCAAATTTGAGCCTCTGCCATATATGTGGTTTAGTTTCCAAATGGACATTTACATCGCCTTTATGTGACTCAAGTTGGTGTTTTATTTGCCAAACATGTTAGTGTTTAGATCTAGGAAAAAGACAACATGGCCCCAGGGAAATGTCACAATTATGACCTAACGAGGCTCCCCAAGTTACTTCGGATAAAGGGGGTCCCAGAGTGTTTAATAAATACAACCTCTAGTAGTTCATTGATTTTTTTTTTCCAGGAGGCAGCAGTGTCTACTTTTACAGTAGGTCACTACTGGACTAGTGGACTGACACCTAGTGTTTGCTGTGGCTCTTACTGGGATTTAGAAACTTGCAATACATTCCTGGTCCCCACTTGGGGAGGGAAGGGAAAGGGGAGACAGAGATTATCTTTGTGAAAAATCTAGCTTTTATTACATCACCTAAAGTAGCACAACCTGCTACACTAATGAAATCGTGTTCTTGGTTGAAAAGGGCAATTGTTAGCCTGACTTTGTGCTCACTAAAAACATTCCCCAATCTTGTTAAATTATTGCTCTCATTTCAGATTTTTATAGCTGCGCAGCTTACCGGCCCTCATTTCTTTACGTTTCATTCATTTTCCTTGTATTGATGATTAATGGAGGATGTCGAATGGTAGAGTGAGCAGGCATCAGCAATTGCAAGATCATAATTAGTTTAGCTGACGAGGGCCTCTGATAGCACTTGCATCTGGATGGAAAAATTACCCTATAGGGAACTGGCTGCTCACCAGGTCTTTTTAGTGATACATTGTGAAACACCCGATGAATCAAATGCCCTTTCAATGCCAAGAAAGTGTTCCAGTCTTGAAGCCAAAATTATGTCTGCAGAAAGCTTTCCATTTGAAATGTATCAGAGTACAATTATAACCATTGTATTTTCTTGGCAGAGATACCACTCGTCTACAGTATGGACTCAAGTTAAATAAATTGCCTAAATTTTATGAATCCCTGAAATTTTGACTTACACTGCTCCTAATTTTAAATTTATAAGAAAATTGGGTTGCAGCAAGACTTTTTCCACTCCTTATCTACCGTGCATATTTTATCATTAAAGGCTTTGCTTCCTAGAGACAGGAGAGCCGAGCTGCAAGGCAGGCTGTCCATTTTTTGCAGCGAAAGAATTCCATTTCCTGCCTATTAGTATTTGTGCCTACAAACACAGCCTGACTTTTGTTTCAGTGGGACATTTAATGGGATCATTACTTGATAGCAAGAATGGAACAATCAATACTAATTATCTACTTTTAAGTATCCTTAGATTATTTCTGAATCTGGTGATTACAGACTTCAGCCCACTAACATCAATTTGTGTTCGGAAATGCTTGTGATTTCCAAGTCTGGGTCAAATAAAAGAATTATATAGCCATTGATGGGACTATGTTGTCTGGCTTAGGCAGGTACCCAATTGGGGTCCTCATGAGTAATACTGTCCTTCTAGCCGCCTGACGTTTCTACTGGTTCTCTCAGCTTTGGGAAATAGGGGGTGTTCTCTTTCAGACTTTACCATTACACACCGAAGACCTGAATTGAATGTCTTATATTCTCTTAAACGCATGTTACATGAGTGACATAGAGAAAGATACCGGCCGGGTATGATTTTAAATAATTGACATGGTGCATTTATTCCAAGCTTGATCGGATTTTAAAGCTCAGCTGGCATGGGCTCCTCCTTTCCCAAAGTATATCAAACATCTTGCCATGTTCTGTCTTTTGACTTTTTTGTTGTGACACTTTTTTTTTTCAAAGGTATATTTTCAGGTTCAGCCTCTAGGAGCCATCATTAATGGCACAAAACCCAAAGTTCAAAAAGTTAAAGCTGTTTCTGTGAAAAGCCTTTGGTGTTGCACACACCTCATCCATCATTGTAGGGTTAATTATAATGAAAATCAGTGGTGCCTATTAAACACAATTGAAGCTGACCTCATTATGGGCAGTGTGGTTTTATACTGTCATTGTTGCTAGTCTGAAGACAAAACTCCTGGGTTGATTTGGTCTAACTCCAGTGATCATGTGACTCACCTCTGACCTTGTGTTTTTTTCCCGTTTCAGAGGCGTAGAGGCTCGGGTGTTTTCTGTGCCAATTGCTTGACCACAAAGACCTCTCTCTGGCGAAAGAATGCAAATGGCGGATATGTATGCAACGCGTGTGGCCTCTACCAGAAGCTTCACTCGGTAAGGACTTATGAGACTGTCAGGAAAAGCTTCAGAAAGCAGCCTGGTCTGTGGTGTGATGAGGACCATTCCCTGGCTGGCATTTCCCCTCCCCCGCCCCCCGCAGTTTAATACAGTCCCTTGGAATGCACTTGTGATTTATGGCGAAATGGCCTTAGATGTTCTGGGGAGATACGTTTGAGATGTTAGTAATACCTTATGCTTCTTTTGATATAAAAAAACGGGGGTGGGGGGGAAGGATTGATTTCTTGGAATTTCACCTAACAGGTGCTTAAATTAATGGCTATCCGTATTTGGTGAACTTAAATTAGGTAGAAAGACAACCTTCTTAAAAGTTCAAAAACACATGACAAGTTACTTTTTTAAAGAGGACGCTCCCAGGGCCAGCATAAAAGAGTGCAGGGAAAGAATGCTTATTTTCCAGCTTACCTTTGGAATTTGCAAGTGTCATCTTGGCTGCTTTGGGGGCTGGAGGTTGGGCACATTGAGAAGAGCGGCTCTGAACTAGAACCCGAAGATACCAGGTGAATCTCTGCGGTCCATTTAATGCATATTAATGAGGTATCTGCGGGCCCAAAGAGCACACATCAGAGTAGAGTAAGGTGCGAATAAACGGTGCTTTGTGTTTTCAGATCTCTCACTGGCTCTGTCTGTGGCTCACTGGAGTACTTCCAGTAACTTCTTCCCAAATTTTAGTGAGAATCCTATAATAAAATTTAAACTTAAAAATCCCCCCATCTGTATATGCATTTGACTTCCCGAAGGATTTTTTTACTTTAGCTTAGAAAGTTTATCTGCTGACAAGAGCTGCCTTTAAAAATCTGAATTCTCTATTTAATGAACCGAAGTCTATTTCTCTGTGTTTGGCATTTCACCGTGGTTCTTAGCACAGCCAATGAATAGGTTACAGCAACAGGGAATACAATTTTAGACAACACGTCCTCATAAAGGGGCCATTGGAAACACTCTTTAAAAAATGGATGCTGCCAACAATACTAATTGGTGGTAAACTGTAAGTAAAAACCTTAAGCTAAGAGAAAGACTTTTTCCCACCACCACACCACCTTACTTTTCTTTTAACCTTCGCCATTTAAGCACAGCAATAAGCTTCCATATAATGAGTACTGACATTAATGACTTTCATTGAACTCTGGCCAATCATAGGCCAGGAATTAATTAAGCCACTGCCTTCCAGCTTATGATAATTTAACAACTGTGATATAAACTAAATTCTTCCTTTTACAGTTATTTTAATATCTCTCCAGAGATGAGATGTTTTTAGTTTTGAGTTTTTTTTAATCATGAATTTAAGTGCATAAAGGTGATGCTCACATTTAATGAAAGTTTAAAAAAGGTATCAGTGCAAATTTCAGGATTCTTTATAAAACATAGATTAAGTGCTGCATATTTTCATAACACAAATATGAAATTCTGAACAAAATCAGTGAACATAGCATATCTAAGGGATGTGTCATATTCATTCTGAAACCAGTAATTGAATTGTCAGTAACAAGTATATTATCTTCCCTTCAAAATACCTTCACAACACTAGAAATATTCCATAAAGGATTTATATTTATGTTTTGTTTAATGTATAAAAGGTACTATTTTGCATTAAGATTCATCTTTTCTAGGAATAATTCACAAATTGCTTATTGTATAGATTTGTATTTTATGTGGAATTAGTTCCTGTTTTCAGTAAGCTTTTGGAAAAATCAGATTTTAGCCTATTAAAGGTTCATCTAAATTTTTAATCTGTAAATATGCATTAATTTATTAAATTTATTATTTTTATTAATCAAAGTTAGAGCTCTTACTACAAGTTATTATAATCTTATCTGTGGATTTTAGTCATAAATACCTGTTGCACATATGCATAAATAACAATCATATAATGCTTAAGCCAAATAAAATACTCAAGCTCCTAAAATTCAGCATTCAATTTAAGTACAGAGTAGTGGAGTTAGAATGAGAGATTGGATATTTGAACCAAGGCTACAAATGAATTTAGATTTTCAACACAAAACAAATGCTTCACCTGTAATAAGTACAATCTTCCCTACTGCATATAAAATATTATTAAAAGAACAGAAATACAAGTGAGAGGTTAAAAAAAAAGAACTCCCACTGATATGGCTCTGCTTACCCGGTACCCTTCCTCATGATTCTGTCAGTTTGATGTTTTGTGTGCTCTGATATTTAATATTTTACATTCACATTTGCAGTTATTTAGAAGAATGTATGTAGTAGTCAGCTCTGGCTGCCATAACAAAACACCACAGATAGGGTAACTTAAGCAACAAATATATTTTCCCACAGTTCTGGAGGTTGGGAGTCAGACCCAAGCACTGCATGGGGGTTGTGGTGAGAGCGCTTCTCCTGGCTTGCAGAAAGCCACTTTCTAACTGTGTCCTCACTTACCGTATTTAACTCCTAAAGATCATACACTTTCCAGATGCAGTCACATTAGTGGTTTGAGATTCAACACATGAATTTGGGGGAGGACACAATTCAGACTGTGGCAATGCATAATTTTTCCACAATTTTTATCAAAACCTATCGCCCATGTTATGATGTTGACATCTTAGTGCGTGACTCAAAAGTTGAGAAATAGTTCAGAAAAATCACATTTCTTGAAGTAACTTTCTACATGGTTTTATCACTCAGTGATGCAATTCCAAAATCCATTGAGTTTGGAAAGCTGTTTTTAAGTAGATGAAAGTTTTCATTCCTCCCTGCAAAGATGGGCATGATTTAATTAGGCTTAAGAAAAGGCACTTTGGTTTCTTCCTGTGGTCCTGCTTAGGGCAAAAGGAGGAGATTTAGTAAATCTATAACATAAAGCCTATCCTTGCTTTGAACTTAAGCATGGTTTCTATTTGTGAGGAATTGTTAATGCATTTTAATGGTGGTGGTTTTTTTTTTATGTTTTCCTTTTATGTATTGTGTGTTCGTTCTCTGCAGACTCCCAGGCCTTTAAACATCATTAAACAAAACAACGGTGAGCAGATTATTAGGAGAAGAACAAGAAAGCGCCTTAACCCAGAGGCACTTCAGGCTGAGCAGCTCAACAAACAGCAGAGGGGTGGCAGTGAGGAGCAAGTCAACGGAAGCCCCTTAGAGAGGAGGTCAGAAGATCATTTAACGGAAAGTCACCAGAGAGAAATTCCCCTCCCGAGCCTGAGTAAATATGAAGCCCAGAGTTCATTGACTAAAAGCCATTCTGCTCAGCAGCCAGTCCTGGTCAGCCCATCTCTGGATATTCACAAAAGGATGCAACCTTTGCACATTCAGATAAAAAGCCCTCAGGAAAGTACTGGAGACCCAGGAAATAGTTCATCTGTATCGGAAGGGAAAGGAAGTTCTGAGAGAGGCAGCCCCATAGAAAAGTACATGAGACCTGCAAAACACCCAAATTACTCACCACCAGGCAGCCCCATCGAAAAGTACCAGTACCCCCTTTTTGGACTCCCCTTTGTACATAATGACTTCCAGAGTGAAGCTGATTGGCTGCGGTTCTGGAGTAAATATAAGCTCTCCGTTCCTGGGAACCCGCACTACTTGAGTCATGTGCCTGGCCTACCAAATCCTTGCCAAAACTATGTGCCTTATCCCACCTTCAATCTGCCTCCTCATTTTTCAACTGTTGGATCAGACAATGACATTCCTCTAGATTTGGCGATCAAGCATTCCAGACCTGGGCCGACTGCAAACGGTGCCTCCAAGGAGAAAACGAAGGCACCGTCAAGTGTAAAAAATGAAGGTCCCTTGAATGTAGTAAAAACAGAGAAAGTTGATAGAAGTACTCAAGATGAACTTTCAACAAAATGTGTGCACTGCGGCATTGTCTTTCTGGATGACGTGATGTATGCTTTGCATATGAGTTGCCATGGTGACAGTGGACCATTCCAGTGCAGCATATGCCAGCATCTTTGCACGGACAAATATGACTTCACAACTCATATCCAGAGAGGCCTGCATAGGAACAATGCACAAGCAGAAAAAAATGGAAAACCTAAAGAGTAAAACCTTAGCACTTAGCACAATTAAATAGAAATAGGTTTTCTTGATGGGAATTCAATAGCTTGTAATGTCTTATGAAGACCTATTAAAAAAATACTTCATAGAGCCTGCCTTATCCAACATGAAATTCCCTTCTCTTATGATTCTTTCTTTTGATGAGTAGGTTACCAAGATTAAAAAGTGAGACTAATGGTCAGTGAGAAAAAAGAAAGGAAGATGGTAAATAGTCACAAACCTCGTAGGTCAAAATCATCTTGGTGAATGTGTACTGTGGCAATGATCCATAAGAAGTACCACCAGACTATAATTATTAGATTTGTAAAGAAAGAGATCAGAGCTGTCTGGAATTTGAAAGGGTTTACATACCATGAGTCTAAAGCAGTGTTGGGCTGGCCATTGGCCCATGTATTCAAAAACCCATAAAACGTTGCCTAAATTTAGAAGTATCATGAAATCCTAGGCGGAGCAGGAAAAAAAATCTAATCTCCGGGGCTGTGAAAGGAAAATGGCGCCCTCTTAGATCAGTCTCCTCTCATTGACCATGTTTCAGAATTAGACCTAGAAATGTGAGCTGCGGTGAGGCTTGGTGAGAGATTGGCAAGAATGTGACAGCCGATGGCACGATGCTTTTGGCCAGCCCTTCCTGTACATACACATGCACACCCTCTCTTGATATTTTTGTCCTTTAGATGTTCGAATACGCCTTTTGAAAGTAGTCCTTTTGTTTGCCATTTAGGTTCATTTTGTCCAAATATATATGCATTTTTAAAACCAATGTCCTCAGTGCTTACGTAGTAATTTTCATTGTAGCCAGATATTTCTTTCTTGTACGCGATGAACCAGTGTGGATTTGTTTATTGAAGCCGCCTCTTGGTCACTAATCTCACTTGGCACATGATAACTAAAGGGATCCCCTCACTTCAAAAGACTAGATGGATACAAAAGTTTAGACCATGGGCTTAATTCGTTTAGAACACATGGTATTTCTCCACAAGGTAACCTGCTGTATTTATTTATTTTCTTTTGGTTAAATATAATTTCCAAACTTTGTGGTCAGGCAGTGTCTAAGGTCACGTTACCACAGACTGACGGTGTGTGTACCAATCAATTCCTTCATTAGATTTATACAGGTTTAGTTAAGTAGCATTAAATAGGATAGGATTCTTAGAAGTATGTCTTCATATTTCTTTTAATACTTAAGGCTTTGTAAAACTATCCATGAAGGGAAAGCTCCTCAGCATAACTGCTCAGGGAAATAGGGCTAAATAACTGAACATTAAATAATTGGTTAAAGGTGCTGTTAGTCGAGCCTCAATGCTTGCTACAAGGATGTATGTACAAGGACTGACTTTAATAATTTGCATTATATTGTCCCAACCAGTAGTTTATTTTTTGCCACAGAGATGTAGAAGATATTACAAGCTACTGGATGCACTGTCAGATTAACTTATTTCATTAAAGAAGTTGGGAGAACAAATAGGAAAAAAAAAAACTTATTTTTCTAGTAAATATTAATGTATTACATTTCAAATAATGGTGCCTGACATATTGAATAATTATTTTCTACAGTGTACGTATGCAACAAAGATATTCCATCATGCATTAGAGTCAGTTCTGGCTCTGCCTAGCTGTTTACATTTGCAAATGTAGCAAACAAGGTAATGAAGCAACTATTTCTATTGCGGTAGATATCTTTTTGTGTGTGTGTGTGTGTGTGTGTGTGTGCGTGCGCATTAAAATTGTAAACGGTAACATGAAACAAATGAAAGTTCTTGATATAATGGTATGGAAAACAAGAAGGAAATGAAAATATTTTTATGCCTACTTAGAAAAAAAAAAGGGTAGCACTATTCATTCCAAGTACTTTTTTTTTTTAATTTTTAAGCTCTTAACTCACATTGTTATGCTTAAAATGATAAACATATATCCTCTTTTTATTGCTTTGTCTATGTTTCAGATGAAACATTTCAGAAATTATTTTGATGAGTGCTGCTGGGACCTGCAGCACTGATGTTTTTTATTGCATTCTTGTAGTCGCATTTGCACTCCGTTTTTTACATTAATTCGCAGTTGCTTTGTATTGTTTTGTTCTGTTCTGTTTTGGGTTTTGTTTCTTTTTCTCAATGCCAGGTCTTCGGTTTTTAGAGTTGGATGGCAGGCTGAGTTCAACCAGTTCGTGACTGTTGTAGTGAATGAAGTTAAACATGTCTTTCTGATGTTGTGTTGTCATTTCCATTCTTGCATTTTCGTTTTCATGTAAAGAGAGACAGAGAGAGACACAGAAAGAAAGAACGAAATCAGGACTAAGCCTTCTGCTTCGGTTTCATTTTTAAAGGGCTCCATTCTGATCTCACCTATTGCGTAGCTCTAATATTCACATAAACTGAAATCAAGAAATGGAATGAGGAGCTCTGACATCCAAATGATGTAATGTATCTTTCTTAGGAATTTAATGAATGCATCTCAGTTGTACAGGCAGACTTGGGAGGTGGCAAGCAAAGACCTAAAAAAGAGATTTCCCAAACAATAACACCGCATTTAGTTTTCTTAATGCAAAGACTGGTAACCGAGTGCACTCTGGCAAACCTCAAGCAACATTATATGTGGACTGCTCAAATCAGCAAAACACCAGAAGTTTGGTTAAGTTGGACAATTATACAGGTATGACTGTTGGGGTAAAACGACTCCATCAGCACTTTCTTCAGTGTCAGACACAAATAGGTTGTTCACTTTTGGCATCTTATGTCTTTTTATTTTCATGTGATTTTCTTTTTCCTCAGACAGGTTGGTAGTAATGTTTAGCATTGGAAAATACATATCACTATTCTTGGACTATTTATAGTCAATCCACTTTTGGTAGAATATTCTTGGATAGCATTGACATGCTAGATCTTATTTCTTTATTCTTGATTTTTTTTCATTTTTGTTTTTGTTGTTTCATATTTTGAAGGAGAAGAGATTGACCTTTTCTGAAAAAATGAAAATCTATCATGACACTAAAATACCCCTTATTTTTTTTATTAATGAGAGCCTTTCTTCCATCTTTCAAAATAGATTACAAAAATGATTGGTTATTATTTTTTACTTTATTTGGTTTTAAGATGTCATTTGTCTTAAGTTGTGATTTTTCAATGAGCTGTTTAGGTACTTAATTTCTTTTGAGGACTTTCAAGAAGATTTAAGAATCTTCCCCTCTTGGAAAAAGCTTCCCAAACTCTGATGAAAACTATATGCCAGCTAAAATTGTATGCCATTTAAACACCGTAAGTCTCTTAAAATCCCTAGTCTATATTCGACTTTAGGCCAGGATCAGCTCATACATTCTCATTCTCCCTTTTCTCATTCTTTCTCCCTTCACCTCTCACCCATAATCATGTTGTTGTTAGGGATTGAAAAATCATAGCGAGCCAGCCCACCTCACAAGGTTGTGGATTGCGAGACACTACACGACTCTATGTGGTGAGAAAAGGATGGAGCCTAAACGTTCACATGTTAACTCTGCAGTTCAAAAGGGAAAGAGTGTGCCCTTCTTTCCACGTGACATATTGAGATGTTCTTTTAAATAAAATCAACTTTGAAGATAGTGATGTTTTGTTCTAAACTGTTCTCTTTTAGTAAAGGTAGATTTTAGAAAACAAGCATGGTGATTCTTTTCTAAGATAATATTAATGAGAAGAAGAAAAAAGTGATTATCATTAACAGCTCTTTGTTGAAGCCTGTGGTAGCACATTATGGTTGCACATGTGCACATAATCTATTATGATCCAATGCAAATACAGCTCCAAAAACAGCAAATGTATATATATTTTTAAATGCCTGAGGATAGACATTTTTCTTAATAAATTTAAGAGTATCAATACTGCTATTAAAATCATTATTAGCCTCCTGCTGTGAGGCTGTAAAACATCACCAAGTGACGTGTCTTGAGACCTCTGGACTGCCTGTGCCTGTTTAGTTAGTGAACATTAACCCAGCTCTGGAGGGGGAATGTCTGCCATCCATCGGTGGAAGTATGGAGCCCAGAAGCTGGTTTTCAGCTTCTGGGCTGCATGCCAGCCTTCTGCCTGAAGTTGACCTGAACTACAGCTTCCTGTCTTTAGGTTGAGGGCCATGACAGAAAACACAAGACATCTTTGAACAAGTAGGTAAAAGCTTACCTTCCTAGATCACAGGAGAAAATGGAGGAACTGAAATTCAACCTGAATATGAAACTAAATATGCTAACCAAAGGTAGGTACAAGTAGGTGGAATTCTATCAGCAGGCAACTGTGCATTGAAAGGAGAATAGAAAGACATGCATCAAGACCTTGAAGGGCTGTGCTCTTTTCCCAAAGAAAGACTTGGCCAAGGGCAGAAGGTGTGGCTTCTTTGAAGAGCACTTCCTTTTGGTTTTCCAATTACTGTTTCTTAGACAGTGGACTCACGTGTTCCTGATAGCGGTGCAATTGTGTAGAAAGTATCCATGGTTATTTGCAGTAATTAGGACCTCCAGAAGATACTAGGGCAGAGCGTGTCAAGTCAGGGATGAAGAAAATGTGAAATTCAACATTGATCCATACACAGAAACTGGATAATGTGTGCTCATGTGTTGTTCTCTTGAAAGGAAAGGTAGAGCTGTGAGCTTCACTCCATCCTGCACCAGAGAAGAGCAAGAGTAACTTTACATGGAAATGTTACTCACCAGAGAAAACGATCCTTCAAGTCCCAAAACTGTATTCTGATTTTACCCCTGGTTTTCTCTTCATTATATGACCTGCAGCAAATCACTTTTTCTTTTTGTGCCTCAGGTTCCTCACCTGTAAAATGGAAAAAAATATATATTAATAATAATATTAATAATAATAATAATGGTAATGTAGTACTTGTTTGTAAAGCACTTTGAGATCCTTGGTTGAAAGGCACCATGGGAGTGCCAAGTATTATTATATGGCCAAGGGACTTATTTAAACTCTCAGTTCCCAAGGGCCAGGAAAGATTGGGGTCATTTGTGTTAGAGATGAGCTGTAAATACCATAACTAGACAGCCTATAGTGTTGGCTATGAAGAGGCAAAACTATTACAAGGCTGATAAAACAATAGTTTTTTTAATGGCTACCAAGGCAGATATCACAATAAGAAATGCCAAATTCCTTCGGGTGGACAATTTGACAACATGGATAACTTGGGGGGTGGGATGGGATGGGAAACATCTCAAAATGCCAATGTAAAATTAACTTATAGCAATATTCACCAGCAGAAAATGTCTTTCTTATGGAATGATTTCATGTTGCTAAGAATAAATTCAATTTGTAGTCCTGATTTGAATATTAGAATGTTGGCTATAATAGTTCTGTTCTTACAACACATGGAATTTTTTTTTGTTTTATTTAATTTTGTTTTCATAGTGCATGTTCATTTCTACTCACAAACATGTTCTTGGTGTATTTCTTATGCAAACAATCTTCAGGCAGCAAAGATGTCTGTTACATCTAAACTTGAATAATAAAGTTTTACCACCAGTTATACATAATGGTGTTGGTATGGTTTATGTGGATTCCTTTTCATCTATGTAGCAATAGGAAATACACACCGTTGTAACATATAGACAGGCTCTGATGAATTGAGATGGTGAAATCAAATCACCACTGAAGAAATATGACTACGATTGAAAAAAGCCTGGATTCTCTCAACTTGTTTTTTTTTTTTGCTTTTTTTTTTTTCCTATCACCAATCAATCTCTTATTGATAGATTTTGTGTAAAAAAATATATACTAGTTTTTTTGGAAGATTAACAATAAAACTTGTGTTTATTTCAAAAACATTTATTGAGTATCAAGTATTGAGTGTTGGGCAATGATTGTTACAATATGTAAAAGCTCCAGCTATTGAAGTTTAACCTCGATTCAATTCAATATACCCATATGAATACGATATAAAGATCCTGATAAGTCATTTCAAGGAGTTTATATTAATATATTACAATGCCTTGTTTGTTTGCTTAAAATGAATCAGAGGAGGTTTCCTGAGGGTGATTATGAAAGAGGTAGGAGGCAGAAGAAATCCAGGTAGGAAAGGGCCTGAGAAGACTCACCCAAGTGTTTGTAGGCAGTAGGAAAAACACAAAAAGTTTAGGACATAACATATAAATAACTCATTGCTTCAGAATAGTTGTTTCTAAAATTTCAAATTAATTAGTATCTACCCTCCTTGCACAATATCCACTTCTCAGTTTTGTGAACCTAAATTAACAAATCTTGTATTTATTTTTTCTAGCTCTTTCTTCTCTAACCTTGTTTTGAAAACAGCAGAATGGAGGCTTTGAGGGGCTTCCATAATGGTAATAAGCTTGTTTAAAAGCTGGAGGCAACATTCTAGAGATAAGAGTATGGTAATACCACTTAATATGATTTCTGCCCCCCCCCCACCGGCACCCCCTTATATAGAATATGTGATTCTTGTACCAGGGACCACTTTTCAAATAAAGTTGAATAAACTTTGTTCTCACCCAGGACTCTCAGAATCCCATTGAAGGAGACATCTGTGGCCAACGGCTATTTACCATTGTTGGAGGGGAGAGAAGAGTGAGTCTGCCCTGTCACCCCTCCCTCACCTTTCAGCCTCCTGGCTCTGTGGGTAGAGCAGGATTCAGAAACTCAGTTGAACAAAGGAGCAGGCATGTGGCCTGTGTGGGTGAAGCCAACTGGGTGGAGGCTTTGGGAGCTGGAGGGCTGTGTAAAGGTAGCCTTTCCTTGGCTCCAAGACTATTGCCAAGCTGACTTGTGTTCCCAGATTTTCAGTTTTCAAGAAAAATTGGACAAAGGGAATTTTATATGGAATCTAATTTTTACTGTCAGTGTCTGCCTTAAAAAAAAAAAAAATACTGCAAGCCAAACAAAACACTTGTTAAGAATAAATTCCACCCATAGACTGGCAGAGTGTGACCCCTGGAGCTTGAACAATAGTGAACTCTGGTAACTGGCAGGGAGGAAACTGGGCAAAGGGCTGAGGTTAGTTGTGGTTCCTCTGGGTGTTGTCTCAGGTCCCAGTGTGCCTCCAGCTCTGCCAGAAAGTCAAAAGCACTGTAGCCCTGCCGGTATGGCTCAGTGGATCCATGAATCAAGAGGTCCCCGGTTCAATTCCTGTCAGGGCATATGCCCAGGTTGTGGGCTTGATCCCCAGTGAGGGGTATGCAGGAAGCAGCTAATCAATGATTCTCTTATCATTGATGTTTCTTTCCCTCTCCCTTCCTCTCTCTAAAAAAAAAATGTTTTTAAATAGAAGTAATTTTTATAATGAAATTGTATTGCTAGTTTTATAATACTCTCAAGATATTCAGAGTGTCAGTAATCTGCAAGTCACCATTCATAAATATTGCAGTACTTATATAGAATATATTAAATGCGGTAACAACCTATTCTCTCAACTTGCTGCTCAATAACAACAATGAACAATGAATATTAACTTTTTTCTTTAGGTAAGCAGTAGAGACTGGGATAGCCAAAGTTATTAGAAAATATAATCACACTTTTTAATTATTTCCATAAATAGAAGGTAAATTTCCAAGTTAAAACTAAATAAACGCCAAACTGTAAGCAATTTCCCAGGAATATTTAGGAACTGAAAACCCACTAATACATCACTGACTTTTTCTTAGACTATGTACCACCTCTTACATGAAAGCAATGTCTGCCCTCATCATGTTTACACATTAGTCAGTTGTGTGTGTGTGTGTGTGTGTGTAATATACATCCAACAGTATTTTCTTTCCAAGCTTCAATTTCCTTACATATTTTCTTTGCAAATAGCATATACTATTACCCAAGAAACATGTGTCCTACAAAGTTCTATTTGATATCATTATGATTGTTTGTTTCTATAATTTTTTTTATAGTTGCCTTGATTTTTTTTCTCTAGTGAAATTGTTTTTGCCATTATTTTATTCTTGGTGGTGACAAGCAGTACAAGCCCAATCTTTGTGCATTTATTCCACAAATACTAATTGAGCCTTCACCAAGTTCCAGGCCCTAGGACAGTGATGGCGAACCTATGACACGCGTGTCAGAGGTGACATGCAAACTAATTTTTTTGGTTGATTTTTCTTTGTTAAATGGCATTTAAATATATAAAATAAATATCAAAAATATAAGTCTTTGTTTTACTATGGTTGCAAATATCAATAAATTTCTATATGTGACACGGCACCAGAGTTAAGTTAGGGTTTTTCAAAATGCTAACAAGCAGAGCTCAAAAGGTTCGCCATCACTGACCTAGGACTATCTCAATGAAAGAAAGCAGACCTGCCCTAGTCGGTTTAGCTTAGTGGATAAAGCATAGACCTTCGGACTGAAGGGTCCCCTGTTCGATTACCATCAAGGGCACATACCTGGTTTGTGGACTCAATCCCCAGTGAGGGCATGCAGGAGGCAGCCAATCAATGATTCTCTCTCATCATTGATGTTTCTGTTTCTCTTTCCCTCTCCCTTCCTCTCTGAAATCAATAAAAATATATTTTTTTAAAAAAGAAAGAAGACCCAATCTCCTGTTATTTAGAAGGGAGATAGACAATAAATATACATATCCAATAAACAAATATATGAATAACATTTCATGTTAGATGATGAAAAATGCTTTGGGGGAAAAAATAAGCAGAGTTAAGGGGAGGATGGGTGTCATTCAGTAGGCTGAACAGTACAGTGTTCATTTGAGCCAAGACTTAAAGGAGGGACTGGCTAAGTGAACAGCTGGTACAAAGGCCCTGAGGCGAGAGGATATAAGTGGTAAGTTTGAGAAACAGCAAGGAGGCCAATGTGGCTGAGACATGGTTAACCAAGAGAAGAGTATTGAGAAATTCACTCAGAGATTAAAGCATTGAGGTGGGAGGAAACCAGGTCATTCAGGACATTGTAGGCGCTTTTGAGGATTGTGTCTTATTCTGTCTGGAGTGGGGAAGTATTTGATTTATGCTTTAGTGGGGTAATTCTCTATATTTGGAATAAATCATAGGAGGTGATAGAAGGGTAGAAGCAGGGACACCAGGTTGAACACTAATTTAGTAATCTCTACAAGAGATGAGAAGAGCAGAAAAGCAGTTAAAATCCCAGGGATCATTTTGAAAATACAACAAACTATATAGCCTGGATATAGGGTGAGAGAGAGAAGAGTAAAACATTATTCCAAGATTTTTGGTCTGAGCAACTGGAAGAATAGACTAAATGGATCAGGTTTGGAGTGGGGAAGCAAAGGAGTTAAATTTTGGACACACTACCTTTAAGATCCAAATGAAAAGGTCAAATAGACCCTTAGATCTAGGAGTCCAGAGTTGGGAGTTGGACAGCATTAGCATATAGATGATATTTAAAATCATGAGACTGGCTGAGATAATCTAGGGTGTGCTGAGTTAGAGAAGAAAATTGGCCCAATATTTGAATTCAGGGAAATGGGGAGACATGAGCAACAGAAACCAAGGACACAGGGCCTGTGAGGTAGGAAAACCAAGAGGGTAAGGCATCGTGGAAACCAAGGAAAACAAATATCATGACGGAGAGAGTGATTGACCTTAGAACATGCTGCTGCTAGGTCAAGTAGGATAAATGCAGAGGGTTGGTCATTGGCTTTAACAAAATGGTCAACGACAGGGTGGGCTATATAATTTACGTTGCCCAGAACAAGCTGAACATTCAGGGCCCCTTGTTCAAAAAGTGTGAGCTTCAGGATGGTAAGAGCAGAGGATGAAATGAAGTTCAGTGCCCTGTGTGACTACACAGGTTGCAAGCCCATGAAGCTGGCCCTGGTCAGCAATGCCTTGACAAGAACAGTTTCGTTGCTGAGATGGGTATGGAAGCATGTTAGAATAAATTTAAGAGAGAATAGGAAGAGAGGTTTGGAGAACTAAGTATAGAAACAATTTGTGGAGCTTTGCTGTAAAGGGATCAGAAGAAAAGGGGTGATAACTGGCACAAGATATTGAATCAACTGGGCATTTTTATTCCATTTTGTTTTAGAATGGGGGAGAATAACGTTCCTTTTCTACAAAGGATGATGCAGTACAAAGGGCTTTATTCATTCATCTTAAAGGAGAGAGTAGAAAATAGCTGGGGTGATGTTTATTAATAGGTGAGTAGGTGAAAGAAAATAGGCTCTTATGCCCATAGGGAGAGGATGACTTTAAAAAAGAAATGAATAGTTCACATTCATTCATAGTCATAGTTGGCAAAGCAGACTGTGTAGACATAGATGTCGGTACATGTGGATGAGATGGCAGAGTCACCGAAAGCTCTATTTTTTGGATGAAATGTTTGTCTTGAGGCACTACTGTGTTGCTTATTACTCCACTTAGAACTCTCCAAGGCACTCCATCAGACACAAGACAATTCACACATTAAATAAGCCAATATGGTTATGTTATATCTCAATGCATTTGGGTGTTTGGATAAAGTCAGAAAACTCACTTGACTAAAGCTGGTATTTGAATCGCCCTTTAAAAACTGATTCTGTAGCAAACCAAGATGGCAGCATAGGTAAAGCT